ATACACGCGTAAAGGTTGAGAGGCAAAGCCAGACAAAAGCTCTAAAAACTGCTCTCTTTGTGTGGAATTGTTTGTGCGCTTGCCTGACACGGACAACACATCGAGATTCATCACCGACGCACTTGATTTCTGCTGGCGTCACTCGGTGTCAAGTCCATGTGAAGTAGGCATTCCAAACAATTTCACGAAGGGATTAAACATTTCTCTACCCTATTCAAACGCAGGGAAAGACAGATTCAAATTTCACATGCGTGATACGTGGGAATCATTCGATGCTGATTCTTAAACGGTAGCTTGGAAGATGAATTCCAACATCACAAAACCTCTCCATTCTTGGCAGACTGGTGGGCAGCTATTCTGACATTCCGGTCACTATATGGCTACCCCAGAGCATTTTTATAGTTGACCTCTAACGGCCACTTACAAACCAGAGCATTCTGTCTTTTTCAGAAATTGTGCACGTCTTACTTTCCATTTGATGCCATGTCTGGAGAAACCTTGGACTATAACGCGTAAACGGGATTATTTTCATTTCGGTTCTGGAAAAAGCCCAATTTTATCCCCCAAATCGGTCATATCACTCTTTCCGACATAACCGGAATTTTACACCAGGAAAATTCTCGCAAGAGTTGATTCTCCATGTCGTCTTATAACAGCAAACGTCATCCTTGTAAACTGTAAAATTCAACGAAGCAGAAAAATCATTCAACACTCCACTGAACAACGGGGCACAACTCAACCCGGTTCATGAGAGAGACAGATGACATCAACCACGGGTGAGAGAAATTCCTGACAAAATGAAAAACGGTTTTTCTCTATTTATTGACGTAATCCCGCATTTGGGGTAAACCGAAGCGTAATAACAATTTTCTTCACTCAACTTGAGAGAATCAGGGTTGATCTCCTTCACTAGAATTGGAATCTTAACGATCAAGGTTCTCTGAAGAAACACCGAGTGTGATTGGATTGTCCAGAGTAGGACGAGTGCCTCATTCTTGACAACAGTGTAACTCCTGAAGAAGCCGGGATAATCTGGAAATCAGGCTGATTAATTTAAGCCTAATTACCTACACCGGGCCCTTATACGACGTCTAACCGCACCAAACATGACAAATTAGCAAGTAATTAGAAGGCCCGCTAAGGGCGGAAACGTAATTTTCACAGGCGATCGTTCATAATAAATGCCTCACTATAGCCAGTAAAAGGGAGATCATCAATACACGCCGGCACGGCTGGGCTCAACGCGACAGGCCTGGCATAATAACAAGACAGATCGTCTTGGAACACATCATCTGCCGGAATTCCTACGAGATAAGGTCGGCGAGAGATCTACGAGCCGATAAAAATCCCCTCGTGTTGACGAGTTTGTTATAGACTGTTTACAGCCCTCGATTCTCCAGAGAAACGAATTCAATTTTTCCCAGCTCCATTCTGTTCTGAAACTCTCCCTAAGACGCGGAAATTGCATGCGAAAGCTGACCTGTGTTCTGATAAACAATGAAAAACATAAGAAGAGACGCACGCGCAGGTGCCGTATGTGTGATTGAAGTACCCTTTCCTTTCACTTAAGAGCTTATAGAACTGTATCGATGAAAATATCTATGAAGAAGATGGAACCATTCATCAAGATTTGGTTTATTAGTTCATTCCGAGTACCCCCCCCCGAAAAAAAATAACAGTAAATTAACAGAGGTATTTGAGTGATACTGGTTGCTTTCAAGTTAGAAATATCAAAAGAAGTTTTATACAGATGTTTGCATAAAAACAAGACCACAAATATCTAGCAGGTTGCTGTGGAAGACGGGGGGAAAATACAGAGAAAAGAAAACCAAGAAAGGAATACACGGATCAAAAAGAAAATCAAAACACAAAGATTTAGATAAATATGAGGCCATGATTCAAGTGATTGGTGAGAAAACGAGGTGACTGGAAGAGCAAAGCTGTAGGACAAGCAGGAATTAATCACCCCCCCCCCGCCAAACTGATTGAGGCAAAAATGATGAGATTATCCGCCTTGAGCAGAAGCACCCCCTCATTGGTTGAAAAGAGCTATGTTGGTTGGGAGTGTTCATTCCGTTGGTAGCGATGCGACTGCAACGCGTGCATTTCATAGTCGTTTGTGAACCAGTGAAGCGCAGTTCCGACCAAAGGAGCCTGCGTTGCTAAAAAAAAGAATTGCACCCTTTCTTGGTGCAGCTCAGGACTCACATGGTGGATACATAAACACTTCAACATTGGCGAAGCCAAAAAAACGGATTTGACTTCCTGGCCTCAACCTTCACGTACAGCTGCCTCGGTAGCAATAATCCGAAAGCGGGAAATCTCCGGTCGTCGGTCGAAGGAACGGTCATTATCCTAACAGGGAGGTATCATGAGACCAAACAAGACGCTTGGGGACACTCATCGAGGAGACAATTACTTCAGGTAAAAGAACTTTCCAGACGAGGAGGAAAACTCCCCGGACAGTTCGTAGGTAAACTCAAGTTGGCCTTAAGTCCTCTCCAGCGGAATTCAAGTGAGGTTAATCGCTCTGCTTCCGACGACAAAAGCAACTGAAAAGATTTTTTTCACATTTTAAGAGCAAGAGGTGCCATCTGGCTAGCTTCCTAAATTTGATCACCAAATATCCCCCAATTTTTGCATGATAATTTAAGGCACATTACACCGACGTTAATAATCCTAACGCCTAACGTTCATCCGTTCAGCCACTGCGCAAAAACTCTACATTGCACTAGTGCAGTATGTGCGTTAGTTATGATTTCGTCCGTTGGCAAATGACAGAAAATTCCTGAGCCCTTTTCGAAGCAATCCGAAGTTCCAAGTTCTGCTGCAAGACTGACAGAAAATATGTCCTTACATTTTAATATGACAGTATACCTAAGATCCCCTGTTTTGAAACTTACAATATAATTGACACTCCCTGCAAATCGAAATCCAAATGCACAAGAACAGTCCGTCACCGAGGTGTTGCGTTACTGTGTTTCCTGACATTATCAACGTCAGTGAACATAACTGTTTTACATACAAGCACGCAGATGTCAGCCTCTCCCATTGCAAACTAATGTTTTTAGCCTATACGTGACCAGAATTTTTTTTCAAACTGACGATTCATCACTTTGCATGGTTATACCTAATTCCCGCTACACTGCCGTGCTTTTCAAGAGAACATTGTGTGGCAAGGTTCACTATAATATTCTATCTTCTGCATTTTTTATTAGTTTTTTCTACATTAAAAATGCAGAATAAAGTCCTTGTGCGCTGAGCGATATGAGATGCGCTAAAACGTTGACCTTCAGAAACAGCTGTAAAAACGGCAATAAAACCCGCAGATCGCTATTGCTACAGTACTGGATGCTAATTAGCTGGTTTGAGAGGCCGCATACTCTTCCTGAAATTCTTTACAATAAGATCGAACACATCCCCGGAAGTAAACTAGAGATGTTGACAGAACCGAGCAGCCTAACACCGACAAACCAGCAGCAAAAATTTTGTCAGAGTTTAAAAGACTGCCGATTTCGCTGCAATTTTTGGCTATTAGGACATCAAAAACCTTCACCTATGGAGAATCTTATGTTTCGTTACGTGTTGTTTGATAGTGGTGCTGGATATGAAATAAAGGACAAAAAAAACCTTACTTGTGATAAGAAAAGATCACCAATTTTTTTGGTACTCGGTATAAACTACTACTTTTACTATGTCAAAGAGATCTTAATCTCGAAGTCAGGCAACGCTCAACTTCGGGCTAGTTTATAGTTTTCTGTTAAATTAAAGACACACCGTGTTCATCGAAATTCCATTCATTTCTGCATAATTTGAATGACATGCTCCACGTTTTACTTTATAGTTCTTTTTATCAAGGTGTATTTAAAAACCTTTAAAATTGTTCATTTCTCAATTTTTCGGATTGTGAAAATCAGTATGGCTGCTGGTTATTGACAGGTTATTTAAACGTTCCGACATTTTTTCAAATTGTAAGTTTTAAGCTAAAAATCTCGTCTTTTAATTAAAAAAACTGCATTACATCATTGTCCACGGCCTATAAAAACAAGAGATGTAGATATACTCGGTCCTTTCATCAAGTACTCCGGCTTTTGGCAACCTGTGGCATTGAATTCTCTAGTGACATTGAAATGATATTGGTCAAACACCGAGGCAAATTCAAGCAAGCATACTCTACGTTTACAAACCCTTGTGGATAATTACAACTTTAACTGAACGACGGACAAAATGAAGTTTGCAGTGGTTGGTCGTATTTGCTTTCGAGTGCCCAAGTCCATCAACAGATGGCAGTAATCGAAATGCAGTATGCAAATACTACATTATAATAATTCCATTCCGCCAAAGACTACCATCAGTTTTAAAGTACGTACAAGCTGGATGTACGCTGAGCTGTGTACACAGCGACACGCAATTTTATTGATAATGAACTGCGCCTCCGGCATGTACATGTAGGTATTATATTAAGCGCAAAAGAAAGTGTGGCCAGGATTAGTTGTGATTTTAAGCAGCTTCCATTATCCCATCATTCTATTATACAATCCGAAAAGCTACAGGAGGCTTTATGACCCGTCCAAAGAAAAGGCAGATTCCTGCTCCTACAAATCAGACCACTTCTTTAGGCCAATGCAACTTATACGTTTCTCCTGATGTTAGTACTCTAATTGTGTGCGTGTTTGCATAAGAATTATATGCTTGTTTGAAAGTCATTTCAATAACCAACAGAAAAGAATCCCGTGGAGGTCGAAGTGGTGGTACTGCAAACAGGTGCCCGACATGATCGTTTGTGGATTACTTGTAACATTGGGGAAGTCTCTGATCTGCATTTGCGTTGTGCTGACAAGACTCCAACGAACCATCAGCGCTCGGAGGTATTCCAATCTTCGCCTCTCTTGTGCCTGCAGCTACCCACGCAAGACGCTATACTACGCGTCTCGCCTAACTCCCTGTAACTGGATTTTTGGGGGGCTCAACCAACAACAGAAACACCCTCCAGAACTCACCTGTAATTCCCCGTGTCATCAGAATCAACAGTATGTACTCCAGAGTGGGGCCAGCGGCCGGGTAGAAGCCCATGATTGTCCGGGTATTCCTCAGTGTGTAGAAAGCAGAACGAGCGATCGAGCAGATAGCGTGTTTCAGTCTGACCATTGTCTCACAGGACGAGCGGTATAATAGAGATATGTACCGCCCAGCGCCCAGGTAGCATGCTGCCTGGTAAACTGACGTTCGACTCTCGCATCTCACTGCGCAGTGCGACTCTGGTGACGCTTTCTGAGTAGATGGCGCCCAGTAGTTAGCGAGCTGCAGCCCGGTTCATTGAATAACCTGACGTGTCGTGTTGACTACTCCACGCCGTCGTTATCAATTCAAATATTCAAGTGCTTTCTGAGAGTGGAATAAGACTCCCGTTTCCGGATGCGTGGGAATTATTAGAGAGCAAAAAGCAAAGCATGGGGCGAAAAACACGTCCGGAGAACGCGTTTCCCAAAATAGCAGGTTCAACCAGCATCGCTGCACAAGTTGAAGAATAAAATGAGACGGAAAACCTTTCAGGAGGATACAGAACTGATTTCGACCATTTGGGCATTTAAATCTGTCTGACAAAGTAACGACGCACTGTATTATATGAAACAATCGAAGAGCAAATGGTGTAACTACGAATAGCTGGGTGGTATCACCGGAAAATCGATTGGATCTATTTTCCGCTGAACGCAAATGTGTCTTGATTATATTACTGGAAAAGGCAAAAGACAGAAAATACAAGATGAAGGTGGCGACGTGTCAACAGTGAGCTATTTTCGTCTCGTCTTAAAAAGAACTACTTTGTGTGTACAATTAATGTACTGATTATTCAGTTTTCAAGTTAGCTGTGATAAGTGGAAGGCTTTAACGTACCTTAATATTTAAATCAACTGTTTTCATTGTATTTGACTGTGACTTCGTTGCCTCCTTCAATTGATCAATCAACTAAGAGAGAGATCAAGTGCACCTTGCTTGCGTGCGCTGGTTTGGAAACGCGCGCGTTTGGGACGGAACACTTGAGACTCATATTTTTCAACACAATGTGCACAGTCCACTGCATTCACCACAGCAAGAAAGGATATTTTGTGCTCGTACTGTGGGGAGTACTCGAGTTTATCATTTATTTTATAATACCAGGTTTAACCCGGACACTCTATGATACTCACACTGTATTGTCAGTGTGGTCCTAGCGTTGCAAAACAAATCGCCATCTTGCTCGTGGTCGGATTCATGATACTTACATCTTAATTCCTGCCTTTTATTTCCAAGGTGGACGTCTTGACCCTCGACATCGACAGGTTGACGGTCTCGATCGATTCCAATGCGCAGCAGCTACAGCAAGCAGTCAATTAATAATCACTGAATATCACTGACTACTCGAGATTAAATTTCAACTGAATGTCCGCTTTCCATTATGATTCCACCTCGTTCCTTGCACGACAGGACCCCCACTTGACCTGGGGAACATGCCCACTGCGGCTCTCAAGTGTCCGTCAAGTGTAATGGTTTTTGCATTTTCACCACAAGGGGTAGCAAAACCTTTGCAAGGAGTCCTTATCGAAGGCTGTAAAAACACAAAAAAACAACCCCCACCACCCACCCCCCCAAAAAAAAGGGTAAAATACCGACAAGACACAGAAGAATGTGCCAAGTGGGAAAAGTAGCGAAACTACAAGCAAACTGCTGTGACCATGAAACTATAACCTACTCGGTTTACCATCGCGGTTTGGTTGACAGTCTCATTTATGAAAATCCAGCTGGTGATGACCACTGTGAAAATGATTCTGCTTTTGCAATGGAACAGATGTTTCATCCGTCTTTTCATGCTCACACAAAGGAGGGAAAGCAAGTCGGTCTACGCGTACAAACAGACAGCAGGTTGAATATCACTTCTGGCGTTATCAGACGCACGTACATGATACTCTTAGGTTTCAAGATGAGGACAGTTCCCTTGAATCTACCACCACTCACACCAGCGGGTGTAACGCAGGCTTGTGCGTGGCCATGGTACGATGATGCATTGGCAGCCAAGTAGCTCTTGTCATACCAGAGCTACATGAGTACTCGATAATAGGGTCCTTCCACAAGTCAAGGTTGAGCACAGTGTGCGGAGGACAAAATTCTTGGAAATTCAAGGATGTGCCAAGATGGTTTCCACTCGATTTCGTTTAGATGAAGAGCAGGATTCAGGACATACTAAGCTCAAGTAAAAGAGGGGAATAATTGAATTAAATGTCTAGATTCGTGCAGTTGTATACTCTTTTAAGAAAATGGATACTGTTCAGAGTAATTACAAGAGCCTTGTTCTTCCATCAGCCGATAAACAAATAAACATTTTCGAAACTGTCTCCAAAAATCACCTTATTTTACAAGAAGTGGTGACCAGTTTCGACTGAATATCAGCTTACGAGTAAGAAAAAGAAGAACGCGAAATCAACGGTTGCATAGGCCTACTCGTACGTCTTTGCGTAATGATGACACATTTGCCACAAGGGATTCATGTTAACCAAATGTGATATCATGGATGACATTTCATGTTGTCGGCAAGGGGGTTGTGTTACAATCTGACGTGGGTTGACTTTCTATGACTGTCGAGTTAGAGCAGACACTTGATCCTATTCCGTTGGCAAAAGCATTAACCAGAGAGAGACGCTTATCCTCATTCCTCACGGATGCCAGCCCGCTACGGCACGTGATTAGTACTTTTGTTCTGTTCTTTAATTACGCCCAGACTCGGTACAAGCCTGTGATTGTACCTGTCCAAAGTGTCAATTTTATGGAAAGACTTGAATGAAGTCAAGGAACAATCTGATATGTTACTGTCTAGGACAGCTCATCCAAATAGGCTTCACACAGCAAAGACTTGACCCCGTTGAAAACATCGCGCGAGTAAACACTTAAATCATGCAAGAGCCTTTGAATTCGATGTAGTTCCCATTTCACAGGTGATATTTGTCCTTCCTATATCCTTTTCCTTCTAACTTGGTTTCTGAGGGTGGTACGACATCCGACATTACGAAGGCAGTTTGATTGTACATGCATTTCAAACACTGCTTTTTCACAATTTCGCCCCTAGACGCGTGCTATTTGAATAAAAGGCCTAAAAAACATCCAATACCTAGAAAAATCATGCCTTTTGATAGCATCGTTATATTTTGTAACAAATTGGACGGGGGCACTTTATTATATATTGCCGGCCATTTCGGTCCCAAAGAGACGGGTAAGATCAAATTTGAACGGCGATCAAGCGAGGCTTCGTTTACTCTGAGGGTATCGGGAGGGAGTGCAGTTAATTTCGCCTGTCAGTTGGCCCATCACCAGCCAATTTGTTCTCGAGTTGGCCTACTTGCCAGCAAGGGCCGACGCACACACCTGAGAATCCTTTAAAGGCGTCTGCGCGTCAGTTTGTTACACTAATTAAAAGGATGGCAGGTAAATATTTCATGGATGTAATTTCTTAATGTTGATTGCAAAAATCAAAATGGAAATGTTTGGAGGCAATGTACGAAGCTTCCGAATGTACACACTAGAAAACATAAAGAAATTCATGGCTTCAAAATAATTTACCCTGATTACTCCTTGAGATAGTCATTAATACATGCAAACATGGTGTAGAATGTAATAATATGTACTCTGGCCATTAAGAGGGACGGGAGAAGATACCAAGTGGTTTTGTACACACAGCGTGTTTGATTAACTTAAATGGAGCAATAGGGAAAAGCCTGGTGACCCTCTGAATGCAGGCTCTACACGTCACGAATCAATGCCGTTATTGCAAGTTCTGACGGGCCGCTGCATGGTTGGTGGCACACCGCCAACGCACTTGCTGCGCTCAGCGGCCAAGCGCGCTGTCGCATCGGGTGAGCATGGTTCCACTTGGCAAACATCCTGCCCAAGCCAGGATCCTTGTTTGATCGGCAAGCCTGGCGGTGCACCGTGACGGCTGATGCCCACTGATGTGCTGTCTTCTGTGCGGTCACCCGAAGGCACGCCAAAATCAACAGAAAAATTGACTCGGTAAGATAGAATGCAGATATTTCAGTGCAGTGAATGACCACTACTTTAATGAAATTAAAAGGCAAAGCACGTAGCAACAAAAATAACAAAAATCTGAGTGGATTCCATATGATATCCTGTACCCTTGCAATTAATGCACAAATGAGACAGGCAGCAAGTTGAATGGCACATTTTCTTAACATTTCATGTGTCAGATCAATTTCCGAGCCAAACGTCCCAAGAAATGTCACAGAAATGTCAAAAATGCCCCAGCTACTGTACGCTATGAATAATTTACGGGGTCCGTCGTTGTCAAGCAACGAGAGAATTTTAATGCACTCTAAAGATTTGGAGATGGGATATTTTCGGAGTTGCCCGCACAAATATCTTTCATTTCATTATCATTCCTCCTAAAGGTAAAGGGCCTGAATACTGTGCTATGTTTTCCGGTCAAGTGATACACAATCGTACTTATTCACAATGCAGTGCGCCATCCAGAGGTTGCCGCATTAGCTATTGTCGAAGTGCACTGTGTAAAATGGTCGACAGTCTATCCGTCGGCTGCGCTCGGGAGACTTCAAGTTGAATGCTTCCCCATATTTGTTTGTCAGGGAAAAGATTCATAAATTTTTGGTTCGTGGTTTAATCCTTTTTTCTTCCTCTACCATGCAAAGCTGAATCTATTCAAAATGCCCCCATGTTGTCACTGGCATACGCTAAAATACAAAATACACAAATTAAGTTTTGTTTGGAAACCAATTTGCTATATCTATTAGTATACACTGTACTTTACTTATAAATACATATAATTTCTGCATGTTTGCACACACATTTTTGCAAGATAAGATGACAGAATTCACTGAATGTCTCATCACCAAGATTGTCACCATCACCATCATAAAAAAATATTATTATGGTCTCTCTGCAGCAGCCTCTTGGTGGCGCACAGTTTTATGAATCGCCCATATTGCCACAACGGAGACTGATTTGAAAATGGCGTAACTACACCGCAAAGAAAAAAAGAAATAAAATCTATTGATGCTAATTCGACATCCACATTCCAAAACTGAGGAAATTTGGGGCAAATTGAATCAAGTTCCATCCGATCGTAAAATACACCGGGAAAAATGTTCATTCATCGGTGACGATTTCAACAAATATCTATGTTTCAATTATATGGACATGACAACGAATCAGGTCCATAAATCTTCAGGAATTAAAAAACACATTAATCACA